ACCCTTTTTCCCAGAATGCCTTGGAAAACACACTGCAGCGTTCGATAAGCCTCATTTTGAGGCTTACCTTGAGTGTAACACTGGTGTGTTCAGGGAAACTAATCGAACGCACCCAAAGTGTGATCTCCCATGTGTGTAAGGCACCAAAACCTCTTCCCCACCACCACTCTGTCTCTTCCATAAAGAAGAGTATCAGATAGTTCGCTCGTCGCCCCCTGAACCCACTGAGCAACGAGCGAAGTCGAGTTGGGGCAGATGCACAAAATTTAGTTATTTGCTTCAGTGCCTCCTCGAAATTTGTACAACCATGGATGCCCTCCTCCCTCGATTTATTCTTGCCCAACACAACTGTCTTAAGGAGGGTCCGATTGTGTCATTTAAGTTGCTCGTGCATGTAATATCGGTTCAGTTAGTAACACTGTATTCCTTGGGACGGAAGTTGAAACCGAGCTGATACTAGCTAGAGGGCGCAATTCATTTCACAGGTACTCATGCAAATATTATGCGCAACATAACACGCACAACAAACACATCGCCTTGTAGCAGGCTTCTGGTCAAAACGTTATTGTTGATACGCGAGAGGGCGCTCACAAGACCAGCCCAAAGACATCATATAGGGCGTTTACCCTAAGTATAGCGAATTTACGCATAGTTGAAGAATTCCAGTCATAAAATTCTATGAAGCCATTTTTCGATTGTAAAAAACCCTCTAGTTACTTAATCTGGCACGTAGGGATTCAAAATAATGCGGTTGCAACATCTGAAAAGAAGAGTTAGCAGTACAGAAGACCAAAAAAGGTGAACGAATTTTGGGAGCACAGGTAAATAAATGATACAGGCAACAAAGGGTGCGTTCGATTAGCTTACACGTGTAAGTCAAACTTACACGAGAGCGTTTGTTTAGCCATCACGTGATCTCGTGCTTGCCCTGGTGTCAGCCACTTCTACCCCGGCTGGTGAGCGGGTCTCTGGAGGCTGCCCGAGTGTAATGACGTCACGGAAGGACTGTTTGTGCATGGACGTACATGATTTAATGTGGCGGAGACTTGACCTTTTTCCCAGAATGCCTTGGCGAGTACACAGCAGCGTTCGATTACCCTCATTTCGAGGCTTCCCTCGTGTGTAACACTGCTGTATTCAGGGAAGCTAATCGAACGCATCCATACATAATTATGTAAGTACGTTGCGCGTAATGCGCACTGGACGCACTGCCATCCATTGCTTCGCTCACTGTTTGCCCATACTTTTCAAAATCACGGTTTTACGCGCAAGACCAGCGGTCTATGCGTTTATGTCTGTGGCTGGAATTACGCACGAACCACAACTACCCACGCCAGCAACAACGTCTTGGGAACTAATTATGTTGCTGGCCTGGCTAGATATTGGTCAAAGCGTTTGTCATTCGTCACAGCGCGTGTGCGGCACGCACCAGCCGCTCGGGGTGAAGACCACTAATTCAAGTGAGAGTTTCTAGCCTGCTCATTAGCATTAAAAGTGCATCCCAAGTATCTTTTGAAAAAGGAGATTGTTTGGCCCCCCAAAATCGTGAGATTGTGTAAATCCTTGCCAGGATCAACTCCCTGGGTCTTTGAGCTTTCATATGAGAGCAGAATGGCTAAAAACTACGGTAAAAAAAATGGTCCTAAGTGCCCGAGAAAGTTGAGTTGCCACTTGAAAAACGGCTACAATCAGACTTCGGAAAATCACTTTTTTGGGGGGATTTTGTTTTAAGGGAATAATTAAAAATGTAATTGGTTAACCGACAAAAAATGAAAAGAAATTGAAAGATAAGTGACCAGACAAGAATTTCATTTGTGTTTCAAAAATTTCGGGGATGTTGGCGTGCATGTTATTGGGCCCTGAACAGTGCTGATTTTACACAGTTTTCAAAGTGGACTGTACCCTCGAAATCAAGGCGAAGAGCGACCTCACGTGGTCTAAGAAATATGCAAATCAGCTGAACCAGGACGGGTACGGTGCCAACGCACTGATCTCTATGGCTGAGTTTGGGCGGCTTGTTCTCGTTTGTTCAAGAACAGCTCGATTTGTTGTTCGTGGGTCGCTCGCTCGAACGCCGGGAATGTACAACCAGTTATTAACGCTAGTAGTTATTTGTGGCAAGTAACATGCTACATGGCAGCGTCTTTGTGCATTCTTCGGTACTTAATGTTGGATAACTGGGCTAACTTCTTTAACATTTTAAAAATTCCTTTCTGTCAAAACTTTCCATTGTCGTCGGCTTTGTAAAGCCATATCGGTACTTTTTGCGGCTGTTCAAAAATCAAACCGAATCTCGCGAGCTTTTCCGTGTGTTCGTGTAAAATCCTGATGAGGAGGTGGTGTGTCAACCTGTTCTGAGAACAGTGTTCTTTGGCCTTTTTCCCACCGTTCGAGCGCGAGAACACGAAATCCGTGTCAAGAACGGCTCGCCCGAACTCGACTTACGGGTGCATGCCACCATACCGTTGGATTTCTACGCGCGAGCTCATTAATATTTTGTAATCCCACGGGTTTTTTTTTACAACAAAACATGCCATAATCAGGACGGATCATAGAAATATTTCTATGTTTCCAAATTTGGGACTGACAGTCTCTAGTTCAGGGTATTTTATCACAAAAAAGTCCCAAATTGCGGGCCTATTTTGGACAGAGGCAGGCGGCCAGATTCAGAGCTGAGCGCATAGTTTTACAACTATTTTTGGGGGTATATTCCGGGAACCCCCATAAAGTTTAAACGAAAGTGATCGTCTGGCCATTATCTTGAATTTCCAGTGAAAAAACAGAGACCAACCTCTTCCCGAGAGTCGACAGGCGGCGCTCTTTAGGTCTGATTTTGCACTGTTTGACTTGGTGTAGTGCAACCATTGATCTCCATTATATATAAATTGATTGTGGTCTCAATCATGCTGTTGCTCAGCACTTTCGCGCGCCGCCACATATTCTCTCGGTGACGTAAGCGTCTGCATCCTGCTGGAAAGCGTCATCTGCCTGTGTATAGCGTAAGGAACTGGAGCAGCGCGTCATTTTTGAACTTGGAACGCTGCATCCACAGGGAATGAACGTGGATTCGCCTGCGTTCATTCAGAACTGAATCTGCTTGCCCTGAAGAAGGTACTCAGTTACCAAAAGCTCGGCAATCACATATTCCAGAGCACTGATTTGATATGAAGAAGCGTGTTAGTACATAGCCTTTGATCAAGGCGCCCGCGGCGAAACGGATAGTCACGTCCACACGACGAACTGCATGCAAGCCCGAAATTAACATGCGTGCGCATGCAGTACCGGGCTGCGTGTGTCGTGGACTCGACTGTGCGCATATCGGGCCGGGCGTGCGGTTCGTCGTGTAGCCTTTCTTCGTGCGTTGGTTTTGTGCTTAAACTAGTCTTTCCATTTCGCCGCGGGCGCCTTGATCAAAGGCTAGTTAGTACAAGGCGCCTAGCGCCTCATGCCCGCATTTATAGTGTTCAGTAGGCCCAAGCTACTTCATAAAAGGGCCCAGCACCAATTTCAAAGCCGTGGTACATGTAGGTGCTGCAGCTGGAGCTTTGAACTGGGCATGCCGACATCAAGCTGCACAAATTAGTCCCCAGCTTTCCCGAAGACGCCAAAAACTTGGGTATCCTCAAACGATTTGTAGGCCTTCGACACGGTGCCCATTTTCTAGCCAGCTCGGAATGAAACTCATATCGGTTATTCATTAGTAACGACGATATAGTCCAATAAAGAACAAACAAACAAACACAGATTTTTATAGCAAGCTCATCACTTTATTAAAATAGACAATAGAATTCAGATAAAACACTACTGTTTGTCCCGAAGATACTGTATATTTCATACCATACAAAGAAGGCAAAAATGGCCTCGAGTACTTCACCGTTACGTACCATACGCTGACCAACGAAGAATAGGCTCAAGATGAAGAGTTTCACATTTCCCTGTAATCATTCAAATTCACTGGTTGGCTTTCTGTTCTTTGCGTTTTCAATAATGAGCTTCTTGACTTCTCTGGGAACTTAATTCCAATTTGCACTACACCCAACTTCTGAACTATCACGTTTATCAAGCTAAAGCTTTGAATCACACCTACATTGTAGCTTTTTAAAATGTTTGGTCGTCAGTCTCAAATGAAAAACAATTTGGAAAAAAAATGATGAAATGTAAATGAAAAAAAGAAGTATTTTTCTTGAAACAATTTTTTACATCTGTATTACAAATAGTTTGCATCAATAATTTAAGCTCTGAAAAAGTCACTTTTATCCTTACAATAAGATTTTCCTGTTCAATGCATCAAGTCTCATTCTTCATTTTTTTTCAATAAATACAGCCCATAATCAAAACTATTCTAAGACAAAACCAAAGGCCAGATATCTTTTTTCTTTACATTAATGACTCATACTTCATAAATTTAAACAAGTTGACATAAGTATATACAAACCTTCCTTTAGAACAAATACACGAAATATTACTTTTGTAATATTTCTTTAAATATTTTACAGCAGTTAGAATCGTCCCTGCTACTGAATTTTTAATTTTTTTATTTAATTTTTTTCCCTTTCCTATACCGCAACTACATTCTATAGTTTCCAAAAATGTTTTCTATTTCAAAATAGTTTAAGGCATCTTTAACCACACTATTTGCCTGACAATTTTCCACAAGTTTGAACCACACTTTCCACAGCCTAATTTTGATGACGTTTTCATCTGCAAAGTTTGTTGACTTGCACAAAGATGCTTACAAAATAATAAAACTTAAACTGTTGCACCGAGTGAAGTTTTGAAAGAAACATCTTTGGTTGAAATATTCACGAGACAAATACTTAGCCAGAAATACAGTAATCACCTTCTCCTACCACAACCGCAAAAAAGGAAGAAAAACAACTATCTTCTAACTAGTTTAAATTTGAAAAAATCCTAAAGCACTCTTAAACGTAATTTTATTTGTTAAATCCGTATTGGCCATGTATTAACAAAAATAAGAAAATATCCTTAAAGTAAACAAAGTATCTACGTAGATTTAAACTTAGCAGACACAAAAAGTCTGTACAAAGCATGTGGGAGTTGAGGCCAAACTGTCAGCATTTCAAGATCATTCAGAAGGAAAACTAGTGTATTGGACATTATTTGACAATATTATCAGGGGCAGAGAAGTTGCAGGGGCTAACATCCAGTTTGATGATGGCGACTGTGAAAAAATCTTTTAAAAAGAGAGTGAGAAGAAACACAGCTTCAAGTTTAAAATCTCATTTCTTAATTTGAGGAGCCTAAGGATGCCTAGATATGCACAAACCAATTCATTCAAACCAATTCAGAGACCAATTTAATTAAGGAAACTTAATAAATGATCTTAATTTTCTGAAAAGAACAATGCTTGCTTATCAAATTTATTAAATAAACTCTACATTATACATACAGGGCTTCTGAAAGTTTGTACCTCTGCTGAAAAGTACCATTTCGTGGATTCCCTTTATTATGAATGAAACTTTGCATTTTTGGACCAAATGGGCACTTACTATACTCTGCACTTGTCCAAAACCTGTCTCCCTCATGCTCTTTGCACACACAGTGACACTGACAATGCTGGAATTATGAAGAAGTTTATCCTAATTAGAACTGTGAAAACTGGTTTAACCTGTCTTTCCTCGTGGACCATATTTTAGTTTCACGGAATGGCTCACTGAGTATCCTAAAACAAACCAAATGCTAATTAATAATATCAAGTGATTCAATATGAACAAATTTAGTTTCCTTTCAGAGGAGGAGGGGTGCACTGCTAAAGGCAGGGACACAAGATCCTTTGCCTCAACTGAAAATACACTGCATTACAAACTAGTATGAGTACAACCATGGAGGAAGGACACAGAAGGAGTTACAACTCTGGCACATCAAAGTGCTGGATGATCATCACCACCTGGTCAGACGAACAATAGTTAACATTCCAAAAATGCCTGATTACTGCCTGCAGCTTAGCCGGACAAGTGGGGCCAGTAAAAGCAACTTTGCAAGCACTAAATTTGATGCTGTTGTCAGATCATATCAAGCACCAATGATGGCATGAATATTCAACTTTCTATACTGCAGTACACAATGTTTTAGGGATGCAGATTACCAACGAAAAATTGTGGCTATGATCATGGGGTACAAAGGGGGGGCTTATGGTTGCAAAACAGGCGGTGCGTAGCAAGCATGCGCTGCGCTCTGGCCATGGACATCCCGGGCATGCCAGATTGGCCAGATGTTATAGCCTGGGCAGTTCAAACTCCTTCTGTGTCCTTCCTCCATGGTAGCAGTTAGGAGCGTTTCACTCCTTTCTCTATGTCAGAGCTGTTCTGAGCAGGGCAGGTTTTTATGCTATTGAGAAACCGACAAAGTATACGATCAGCAAGCAGTCATTAATGCACATCATATCTGCATATCAAACTGAAAGTAATTTTTCCCCATCAATTTGTGCATGTTTTTAAAGCTTTGTGAAAACAAACCTTTTCTGAAAATTACCGCATGCACAAAAAGAAAAAACAGCATTTAGATAGGAAAATGTTACAATTTCCAGCCAAATAATAGTATACACGTAATTATAGACAATCATGATTATATAGAACACAGAAATAAATGACTATGATGATAACTTATCTTTAAGAGCAGTAACAATTCAACACTGACAGCACAAATATTGTCAAGCTATTTGTGGGGTGCGGACACCAAATGGCCACAAATGTTGGCAACAGAAATCATTTATTGTCCAGAACTTTCCCATGGAATTTGATCTTGCTAATTCTCTGTGTATGCAAGTACGGTGTCCATGTACATGTATTTATCTTTCTAAGGGGAGAGGATGTTCACACAGTTTTCAACTTTTGCCAAAATTTAAGGGGGGGGTGCCGAGATCATTTTGCTAATACAAAGAGCCAGAAACAAAACATAGCTGCTTTTTTAAGTTTGTGGTAGAATTTGTCAGGACAGTTTACACTCAGCACAGCCAGCTTATTAGCTGGTATTGGCCAAGGGGGGATCCAGCACCATTTTTTTCCGGGGGGAGGGGAACTTTGGGGGACCAAAAGTGTGGAAAATTTTGTGACCTTTCATGACCTTTCTGTGGGGTGAGGCAACATTTTGAGACTTATTCACCAGTCTGAAAGGAAGATAAATGAAATACATCCCCAAACCACCTATTATTATCTAAACAGAAAATTGCATCTTTCTGGGAGGGCTATAACCCCCCTGGATCCACCCTTGGTATTGACAAAAGACTATCTTGATAAATAATGCTCGGATGTTTCCTGAAAAATATGTGACTTCGCGTATATAGTGGAAAATAACAATAAATCTTTTTTGGGTATATGAAGAACTTAACCAAGCATAATTTCATAACTACACAAGAAAAATTTGCCCACTATATCATAACATGCCCAACATAAATAGTTTGTCTAAAAGTATAAATATGCAGTACAGAGTGCAAAGGCATTTTGACAAATAAACGTGATTTTCTCTTAATTTTCAGGCAGACTATTACTGGCTATTCTCTCAGGCAAACAAAATGACTTGAGCATCACTAAACCACGATTTTGTGCGCGGATAACACATACCGTCTACTCTGACTTTAAAAACACTGACCAACAGCCACAAGTTACAAGTTCCCTTCAGGGATCAACTCCTAAAGGGCACATTAAGGACAATTTGGTCTTTGGTCAAAACAGACTAAAGACACAATTCCAAAAAGTTGTTCACACACCAAGTTTATTTTTTTAATTCAGCCTTTTTTGCCCCTTAAAATCTTGTTTTATCCCCCAAATTGTTCCCAGACGGTAATAATTCAACAAACCCTTCGTAAGGGGAGGAAAAATCGTATTGTAAACACTCAGCTCTGTGCATGCTGATATGCATAAACAGATCTGGTTGATAATTAGAAAGACTTGAATGGAGAAAAGAGGGTAGTCACACAACTTTCTTTAAAAAAAAAATTGAATCTTAAATTACGAGTCACTTGAACTCAAAGAAAAACGTAAGGGAATGAAAGAAAGAATTCACTATTTTAAAGATCAAAACTTTTGATCAACATTCATAAAAGAAAAAAAAAATTAAACATCACCTTCCTCATTCTTTGTTTCAGAAAACTCGAAAGCATGGACGAAAATCTGACGAGGCAATTGCAGGGAAAAAAAACAATTCTTGCAAGTTACAAAGTCCATTTGAGGAGTTTAAATTTCACAGTCGTATTACGTAAGGCAAACTTTGTACTACCATACAACACAGAACAATTTTGATGCACTATACTTGTTTGTGTAAACGGAAACTACCGAACACATTCTAATAGTTCTCTTCCTGTATAAATGTTGGTTTTCGTCACACACTTCAGTACCTTAACAAAGAATACCCTGATTTGGTTTGCTTAATGATCCTGAACAGGAAATAAAAGAGCTGACTGCTCGAATCCATCATTCTCAGCAACATTCTCTTCCTACAGTACGAGTGTTGTGATTGGCTCCTGAAATTTAATCTGGCTTCATTGACATGCCCTGTGATTGGTCGCATCATGCAAATGAGGTCAACAGAGGGTTCCTCTTTGTTAATTTGACCCAGTCATGTGTAACCGATTTCCTGTGAATGGCCAAAATGCCAAACAACAAAACAGAATTTCTAGTTTGTTTGTACACAGATAGTTTCAGAATTTCTGTAGTAATTATTACACACCGTTGAAACCTATTACAGGCCAAAAAAGGCCTCAAAACGTCACTCTGTATAAAGATGATAAGTTTTAATGGGGTAAAAACCATGAGCACACCACGAGTGCACATTTCTGATCAAAGAAAGAACGTAAAAAGTCCAAGCCACAATGTGGCTCTAAAGCACTCTGTTTCTTCTGATTGAAAGACACTTTTTATGTTTGAATCTCAGCATTCGAGACAGAGTTCCCACCTGAGATGATGAAATTTATTCGCTTTCTGATTGTTTACCGCTCTCCAAAACTCTGTCCCAGTGGACAAAACACAAATAATATCGAATTGAACCTTCTATCCGGTGTCTGAACTGACAACTGACAGTATTCTTAGACTGCAAAATCTCAAATTCAGCAGTACATCCCAGATTAATTTCCAACTTACTGGAATTTGATGGTGCCTCCAATCCAAATTTCAAATCTCCACATTTATAAGAAAAAAACAACAGAAGATAAATCTTGGATATTTCTTCAGATCTTTCCAAAAGTTATGTGTCATGCAAAGGATTACAAGGCTTGCCTGGTCAAGGCATTCATTTATATACTTCCTGTGGGTATTACAAATCACTTTTCAGCCACGGAGGCATTCAAATCTGAGCCAAGAAGTCAAAACATCGGAACATTGCATAGTTACGCTGAAAAGTTGAAACAATGTTCTGTTAATGAGAGTGTGGATCTACTTTTAACGAGAATGTTTATGTCTGAAAGTTAACCATGCACATCAACTTGATGTTGGAATCTTTCACATGGTACTCCACACTCCACAGCGATGCACAACACAATCAATGTTGCTATGGAATAAGTCGATTTCATTTCTCAGTCTACGATTCATTAATGTACATAAAATATTTAAAGAAAAATGTGTTTACTTCAAAATCATAACAGACAGAAACCTGCAGTATGAGCCTAGCCCCTGTGGCCAGGACAATACTGTCATCCACTGCAGCAACTTGACAGGTTGTGCTGCATCACATGTTACTCCTTGATCAATCCCACAATGCCTTTGTCAATCCAAAAATGTCTTTGTCGGCCAAGGTTCTGATGGGAGGCCTTTACAGCACGGTCTGTGGGGGCATCACAGGAGAGATCCTTGGGATGATTTCAAGACGCTTTGGCTGTTGGTTTGGAAGAGAAAGAAGGGGGGAAAATGAGATAAACAAACAGTACCACAGGAAGCAAGGAAATCTGTGAGACCGATCTTTCCACATGATCCAGACAATGCCAACAAAAATAAACGAGAAAATGGATCCGTGCTGAAAAACAATCTTTTTCCCCATTCACTGAGATTTTGCCCAAAACCTTTTATAAACTTGGGCAGAAGTTAACTTTTCTTTAAATAATAAGTTGAAAGTACATTTAAGTATGGAAGAACTTTGACTGATATTAGTAAATGGAATTTTTCTCAAAAGAAACCGTTAGTTAACCCCTCCGGGTCGGTCTCCACAAAATGGCAGCTTGTTGAAACCACAATCAGAGAGTGGGGACAGAATTTGCAGCTTCGATTTCAGGGCTCTATTCCTTCTGTTGATGCAACCAGTGACTGAAAGTGGTCTTTTCCTTTTCTGTAAGGATTTGTCCAGAGTTCCATGAGAATAATGTCAAAATAAGGTGATATTCAAATACGACTATGGTAATCAGAGTAAGTGTCATCTTCAACCTTCTGTGAGTATCCTTTCCCCCTCCCCCCCAAAAAAGGATTTCGGCCTGAATTACTCAGTCCCTAATAAGCATAAGTGTACATTTTATTTACATTTTTGTCATCTTTCACATGATACCAGCAAGACAGTGCTTGGGCCACGCATGACTAGAACATTTTGGGATCATCAATTCAAATTGTCTTTGAGCAGTCAAACGTGACCGAAGCACCATCTTGCTGGTATTAAATGAAAGATGCAGAAATGAGCCTTCAGTTAAAAGATTATGGAAAATGCCTATCAATTGCTGAGCAGTTCACCCCTGAATCATGGTTTGCTGATTTCATGACATCCTGTATTACAAAGTCACTGACAGTCTTACAAGCCCATTTATCTGCAACTACAAACTTCCCTGAAACTTACACTGCAATTTTTTTAAATTGATGTTTTTTAAATGCAGTGTTATGCTACACTGATGTCTTATACGGTACCTAAAAATCATGCAAAACGCTTCAATGCAGTTGTTCAATCTTAAGGTTGTGATGAAGCTTTCAAACCATGCAGTGAAACACAACCAAAAAGCAATGGTCTTCAGCAATGTAATGAGCTGACAATCAGACAAATGCAGACTGTGTAATAGAATGCCAAGGAATGAGCAAATCCCTTTGAAATACACCATGCCATCAGAGCAAACATCTAGAAAAAAAGCCAGACATTAAAGTTACTCAAATGAGGGTGCATTTAAACAAGCTATTAAATCAAAAGATGCATTAGTGTCCATGGTAAAAGAGCTCGCTCAGGGAAAGCTTCACAGAGAATTGATGCAACATTTCTCTTGCCATAAACCGCAGTACTGACTCTTTCAAGCTGTCAGTCTGTTTCCCTGACTCTCTGCGTGACTGCTTAGTGGAGAAAGTTGTGTTAGTCTGTAATCAAGGACCTTCCACCATGGATGTGCTGTTGGGGAAAATTAGGTTACAGCGTGGCTACTGATTGCCAGCCAATAAAGTAGTGGTACTGTGCATGTAACCGGAGCACTCGGACTGCAGCAGGCACTGAACCACCCTTTTTAACTGGTGAGCAGTAGCGTAACTAGGGCTATTTTATCGGGGGGGGGGCACCCCGGGGTGCACACTTTTTTTTCAAGGGGGCGCCAAAAGACAATGAACTGCAGCAGAGGTTGTTTATGGATGTCACATGGGGGGAGGGGCATCCGAGGGGACACAGGCATTCACTGGGGAGGGACATGTGCTCTCCCACCCATAGTTACGCCACTAATGGTGAGGCATTCGGTATGGTTCTATCTACATGAGTGAATGGTTCAATATTCAGTACTAAATACACCAACCTGTGAATGCTGGTCACAGGATTGTTATTGATGACATACAATCTAGTGCTGGTGGGGTTATGGGGAAAGATGACCAAAGCAAAATGTTCACACTCTACAATCTAGCACTACAGAGGCATAGAACTCTGACGGTGGCGCCCAGAGGAAACATGGTGGGCATTCCGTGACAGAGATGGGAGAGGTAATGGAGCTGTGATCAGAAATGCACAGGAATGAACATGTATACTGGAAGGATTAAAAAAAGACTGTGGCACTGTGGTAACAAAATGAAAAACAAAGTTGGACACTGAAATAGCCCACCACGTGCCTTTTGGTTTGGATCAGAACTGGAATATGGGGCTAGCTGCCGTACGGTTGATGGGCGCCACTCCGATTTGGTGGTGGTGCGCCGGTGATGGTGAGTAGATTAGCCCACCGGCCAACTCGAGTGCTTTCTGGCAAATCATAAAAATGACATGGGGGGAGAACAGACAGGCTCAGTTGAGGGTTGTTTTGTATTTTTTTATAATTCTCCTGGGGCTATCACAATTTAATCAAGCTACCGCCGTCTTGCCTGGAGCTGTGGTTTCTTTAGAAAACCTAAATCTGTTTAACGATGCATGTTTCCTTCTTTAACCACACATCAATTATATCAAGTGTCAATTGACAATTAATGAACTGGCTTCATCCTAAGTCACTTCAGGACAAGCTCAAGGCAGTGAATAAGACACGACAGACTGCCAAATAAGCTGGGCTAAAGAACCAGGTGAAATAAAACAAGGGAAGAAATACGAATGCTGTACAACTGTTCTTATTCCACTCACAGTGTACAGATCACTCCAACAGAACAAGACACAAAAGGATGGCAGAGAGAGTCTGTCTTGGACGTGGCCTCTGTGGCACCTGAACACCATGCTAACTTAAGGGTGAATTCCCCTACCCTTGAAGGCTACAGGACTCGGGCCACTGTCCAGATTTGACCATCATTCTTCAGGTTGTTTACAACATACTGGAAGGAACTTGGACTCTCCATGAAAGTGATATTGTATTTTTTTCATCCTACAAGATTCTTGTAAGGGGCACACGAAAAGGAACATTATGGTGAGGGATTCCCCGGATGAAGCTGAATAGATCAATCTTCAATATCCACTTTTACTTTTATTAGTCAACTGCACAAAGCTGTTACAACATTTAAGAACAAATCTAAAAATTGAAGAAAAATATATACAGCTGTTAATGCCTGCATAACAGAGTACATAATTGCATCGGGGGGGGGGGCATTCATGCAGTCTTTTATGCAATCCCCTTTAAAGTAAATTTTAAAGGAAGCTCTAAAGAACAAGGAACTTTTTCCAAGATTTAACTTTTAATTAATGCAAGCATGCTGCAGACATTTTTTCTCTAAATCTTACCTCTCCCATGTTAGCCTTGGCAAACTCTACCCGCAGGCCTCCGCGGTCGCTGGACGGCAGCAGCACACCTTGCAGATGTGTCAAGGCTTGTGTAGCACAAGGAATATTCTGAAGACAAATGACAATGACAAATTGTCAGGTGAGTGTGAAGGTCACAGGAGGAGGATTTTGACCAATTTTGGAGCAACTAATGACAGTGACATTTTGTAAGACTATTCAAAGGGCTGTTAGGGCCACTACATTTTTTGTTCTGAACCTTACAATGTTCACAAGAAAATTTTTGGGTCACCAGTGACAGTGGCATATTACTTTGATTCAAACAGAACCAGGGACCTTTATTAATGTAAGAATATTCTTAAAACATATGAGAGTGACAACATTCTTGCTTTAAAGATAATGGGGCTCCTCACTAGCTTATCAATGTCCTGCTGTCAAATGGTAATGACAAATTATCTGTTACTTGAGAAGGGAGATGAACAATTTTGTGACAAATTCCACTCAGGGCAAAAATATCAGTTCAGCTTGGCAAAATTACCTGAAACTCCACAAAACAACACGGGGCACCGCCTTTGTTGTGCACTCGTAGTCTAGTGAAACCGGGAATGCTGTTTGGAGGAGAGATGGGTGTCAGGAAAGTAGGGGTAAAGAATGGAAAATGAAGAAAAAGAAATTAACCTGAGCTCATATTGGGCATACATCTGGTGGGCAGCAGCAATCTGCTCCCCTCAAACTTACTACGACATGAAAGTTTTCACCCCAACTCTCAGCACATTATTACTTGAACTGCTTTGAGCCCTCAGAAACCAATCAATTTACCGGAACTGAATGCCACCTTCAAAGCAGGCATCAAGCCCAACGTAAAACAACAGCACCTAAGTTGACTCTTCCTCTGTCTTACAAACTCATTTCAAAACCTCCTCTTGGATATGAAAAAAGGAGAGGATCAGGTTTAAGTTGTCAGTACAAATACTGCTAATAAAAAAAAAAAATCTGCATCACATTTATTTTTATTTGATTCACCAAGGGAGGAACAAATAAATTTGTCCAAGAACTCCTGGGTTGAGTGAAGTGGGTGGTGTGACAAACGCTTGCATCTTGCCGTTAGAACCACAGAGTAGAGTATGTAAGAAAGAGCACAACTTTTCAAAAGTTGTCCCCTGACAATTCAAATGGGCCTAATACAACATACCTGAAAAATATATATGCTTTTCAGAAAGGATTTTATCAAGTGTTATCCATGATCTGGTATGTAGTTTTTGTTGTGCGGATTTACTGAAAGATAGGTGCATGAATTTTTAGTACATTCTGCGGTGTTCAAATAGTGTGTGTATTGTCAAAGTGCTAGGGTGTAGGCGACTTCAACAGTTGCAAATTGCCTAGATTCAGGTGAAAAATTCAGTCATATGCTAGGAGAGAAGACGTTGGTTGAGAGAGAGACATACCGCCACCCAGGTGTGCAGAAAAACGACTGCAGCTAAAACGCACCAGTGCATTTGCACTTACATGTAATAATTCCGCTATTTAAGTTCACTGTTGGTATATGAACATGTGCTGTGCCTTATGCACTTGCTTAAAATAAGAGGGTTTAATATTTCTCAGTGGAAGAGTAGTGTGCACGCAAAGAAACACGGTCATTCCTCTTCTGAAATCTGGAGGGTACTCAAAGAATCAACTTCGGGACTGAAGGCAAAGATAGCAAAAGTTACTTCTGCATGCTAATTTCAAACTGGAAGTCCCATTTTGATGCTGTGAACAGACAACAGCACACAAATGTGGAGCTCCGTGCAGATTTTAACATTTGTGGCAATGAGTATGTGCCGTCAACTTTCATTTGAATGCACACAAAACTTCAGTGTTTCTGTGGAAGTGCCAGACGTGCCTAGCTGAATGGCATTCAAGAGGCTCTTAAGGGGCTCTCAGATCAAACGCAGAGCAGTACAGCATTCAGTTTTACAGGTATTTTATATGGCTTAGTCATAATGTTCAATTTCTACATGTGTAGAGTCTCTCAAAGCAAACTTTTGACCAGTGTGGAGCAATGGACCCCTGTAGAAGAAATTTTTTATTTTGTCTTCTGTTTACACTGCAAGGAGTTCATACATGTCACGGCTTCAATCTGACTTATGATCAGCCTCACTTTCATGTAATACTGCAGACTGTAAAACCCAGATTAACTTTTTGACTCAAATGCAACCTTCAGGACAACAAAACTGATGATGTGCTGATTTGGCTTTCATGTTGCTGGGGAAGTAAGAATGTTGATGAATTTGTTGTTTAACCCTAACCCCCAAGGGTGTGTGTAAAATCGTATTGAAATTGGAGGATTTGGGACTGTTAGGGTTAAACCAACACCACATAACAGTGTGTCTTACCTGAAATCTTGGCAGTACCACCAACAAATCATGTATCTTAATAATTTACGTACTGGCATTATCAACAATTATGGTTGGTTTGACTCTGAACTTAAGAAAGTCAGTTACAAGTTAACCAAAATGCATGTTTTGCACACTTGGTACAAGGTCTACACACTACAAGCCTTCTGACCAATGGCATATCCAGGTGATAGACAGGGGAGGTGGATAAAATGAAATTCTTTTCCCAGAAAGACTGTCCACTCTTTTTTCATCCACGAGAGAATCACCCCCTTAAAAAAGTTGCATGGTTTCAAGAATGCTGGTGCTTTCAATTCAAAAGGAAAAAAAAAAAAAGTAGCAAAATTTCTCAAGGCCTGGCAACTTTCCCCCCGCCCCCCACTGGTAATGTCACTGCTTCTGACACCGGGGTACTTGCTAAGTTTACGGCTGATAGGTGTGTGTGTGTGTGTGTGTCCCGATATACTCACCTGCTACACAGGTCCCTCAGCTCCTGCTCAGCATTGGCACCGGTGCCCAGGTTTGCAATGAAGAGAGTGGAGCATGGTGCGGAGCCAGCGATAGCCGCCATGGTGGCCGCATTGGCCACGTTCATGGGCAGTGTCTGCTGGGGCAGGGAGGTGGAGGGGTGGGGGTGGGGGGCATGTGCAACAGTTGAGTGTGCATGGTGGGGCTGTGAAAAGAACCAACAAATAAAAAAAATAATAATCACAATAAAAAGAAATAACTTTCAAAAAAAGTTGAGAACGTGGCTCTTTTTTGGACATTTTGCTTTGGTGGTGGCTTCTTCACAGCGAGTGAGCTTGTTGCTGAAAACACATTTTGAGGCTTGCGTACGTATTTGCTCTCATTTTGGGATGGAAGTATGGCAAACCATGAATGTGCAATGCATAAATTACATGATCACTCTTATTTGAAACTAGAATCAGTTATCTTTTAACATTAATGGAATACTGACCCACACAAGTAACACAACAGATTTGGAAGAAGTGTGCCCCCCAAATCAGTACAATATTTCCAACTGTGCATGACCACTTCCAGATTTGACATTTTAACTTGAGGATAAACCACCTGTTGCACAGGCTGCCAGTCAAATTGAGCAAAAGTTCTGGATCTACACGAGAGTACAATCTTTCAAACACCTTTGGACTGAATTACATGTTAGTACGTTTTTAGCACACAGACGCATGTGGGGACACTATCTCTGCCTTCTTAATGATTGCACATGGTTTTACAATAACCAAATCTGCTGTTTGAGAGTTCTGGTTCCCAAACATTTCTCTCTTTCATTTTCCCAAAGGCAATAATGTGATCTCTGATGCACACACATGCGCTCGGAATAAAATCTCTGTATTCCAAACCTTCCATTTCAATTCCTAACAAGGTTGCACATATAATTTACAGGTGGTACACGTATGTAGGAGCTTGGGCTTTTTCTTTTTAAGATGACTGAGCAAACGCAAACTAACGAACACAGCAATGCAACACATGATGGGCAGCTAGTTTGTGGCGTACATGTACATACAAGCTCATCTACACAATCACCCGAGCATGCACTGCATTAACTTGTTGGTCGTCATGACAGCAGCCTGTGGTAATGTACTTGTGATGGCTCATTTAGATTACTGACAATTCTCACTGATAATGCATCGCAAATGGAACAAAACAACTTTTCCTCAGTTAAGGTGGGCTCTCATTTCTGAGCGTGCACAAAAATCTTCACAATGTATTCTTTGGGCATTTTAATATGATCCTTGTTTTCCTTTAAAAAAAAAGAATAAAAATAAAAACTGAAACAGTAGATGAAAATCTATGTGAAGGCAAACTTGAAAACAATGCAGAACCCCCCAACCAGTGCATCAAAGCCGATAAAAGATCCAGATCATTCATGAAGCTTTCAATCAGCTGTGAGCTAAAGATAGTACATGTAAATACTGCCAACAAATTTTGTTAAGCAGACCTCCCAGGAACCCTCCAAGATTTCAAAGAAGGAAAGAAAATCAAAGTGTCATGGGTAAAAAGGACAGGTAAGGGGTAGCAGAATGGGCAAGTTTGGAAAGCCAGGCCGCACTATCAGGACGGCGCCCTTAACAAGTCTACCCTGGTGCCCTTTTAGACATATGCAGTTGCACATTAGCAGATCAGCCTGGTGCTCTGGACTTGCATAAGAAACCACATGTTGGATTCGTCTGAGACTGCACGCAACAGAAACGGCTCTCCAAACTGCGACTGTCATAAAAGTGTCTGCCCATTAAACACACACCAGTGCACAGCACGGAAAGGAGTGTACATATTCCTTATCATTTTAATTCATACTTTTTTTCAAATTTGGACAACCATTTGTGACAAACGTACCAGTACATAAGTTACCCTGGCGCCGTCTGCGGGCACTTGTGCGTGTAAGGCAGGGTGAGCGGCAAAGACTGGATGGTGGTGCACTGGGGTGGCAGGGGTCAAATCGGCATAGGCGGCTGACAGGCTGTCAATGGAAGAGAAACAAACCTTTGAATTTGGAGGGCCTTTGGCACACGCTTAGTGTCTGCGTTAAATGTACATATCAGTCCTCAGTCAATCTTAATTCATGCCGACGAGTCTTAGTTCAATTGTGAGGAAAAAGGCAAAGGAGTACTTCTGGTTACAGAATTTTTCAGACATGCCATTGACAATTTGAGAAAAAAATGAGGAAATTCTAAACTGCGGACTTAAAGCAGTGTTTTTCATTCCGCAACAGTATATACAAGAAATAAAAAATTTACAAAATAAGCTGATCCAAGGAAAGCTGCATGTCTCTGATTTTAAAACATTCAATTGCCGGGGGGGGGAACATGTTTTTCCTCTCCCTGACTCAACTGCATTCTCCAACACTCCCTGACCAAACACTGCTAGTCAAATTTGATCCGAGAGGGGATGAACAGATGCTAACTGAACAAATTCCCCAACGAAATGAGGAGGCAAAAAGGAAGAAAAATAAAGTAGCTGCTTGAAAGCATTGGAGTTATTCGCTGGAGCACTGCAAGCAGAATCTCAAATTTCACGCTCCACCTGTGATATTTCTCAACACAAAGGAGTTTCGTTTACACTCCTCACACATGTAAGTATGGTGAAGACCAACTAGAGACTACAGGGCTCTCGTTACTGCTTCAATATGTTCTCCGTTCAGGCTGATAAAATTTTCAATTTCTTTGATCTGTGCCTGGCCCGTACAACAGAAAGAGAAGGTGTTTTGAAAGAACAGATCGATGGTGTATGATGAGTTACACTGTGCAGATCTCTTTGTCTGTTCATTAGTTTGTTTTTTATTGGTTTTATATTCACAATTTCACCAGTGGCCTTATTATGTATCATTCCAAAGACGAGCAATACGGCACATCGTAAGCATAGAAATTATCGTTGTATATGCATACAATATATGTTGAACCTTGACTGTAAGAAATCATAAACAGGCCAATGGATGGATGATCTCAACTGGTAAGAAAGCCAAGACCCATGTTCAAACATTACGGCTGTGGCTGAAAAATAGCATGTACGTCTATTGGGAAGCCACTGGCTACCAGCTGCTGCCCTCCCCATGTACATGTGTGTCAAAACCAATTGCAGCTAGCTGACTCGGATGTGGCCCAACCGTGACTGCCAAGCCTAGTTGGGAATCTTACCAAAAATCAGTCAAATAAAGAAAAACAAAGGAAAATAAATTAACACCCAATCTCTAAGATCTTTGTCAGAAGTTGAAAGAAAACAAATGGAGGAAAAACAATGGGTATCAAATAAACGAATGTGGTGTGTCCGTTGTCATTTTAATAAAGTGCCCAGGCCAGAAAAAACTTACGGATGGTGTGCCCATGCTTCTGCAGCGTGTGGTAAAAACACAGCAGTGCTAAGATCATCTGAAACATGCAAAAACGAAAACAAAAAAAGAACGATGCATTATTGTCAATGCACACTGCTACAAGATCTTTGTCAAGACCAAATTGTCCTTTCGTGGAAGAGTGTGCATATGAAGGCAATGACAGTGCTTTTTTCCTGCAACCGAGTGTAGTCATTGACCGTAAGATGCCATGTGACAAATTATCAAGAGAAAGATTCTCAGATTTAACCACACTGAAAAAATTTCCCTTCATAAACCATGATGAATCAAAACAATTTTAATTCAATACAACCAAAGATTATTTCTTGAGAATCAAACCAATTTTGTTTATATCCAATTTACAATACTCCAATCCTTTTAGCAGAAACTGAATGCCAAGTATGACTTTTCAGTATCACATGAAACTTGCACATGATGCTCAGTGGCTTTGCTTGGTTGCAGGAAAAAATCTGCTGAGGGGATGTTTCCCAAGGCAACTGACTGACTGAAGCTTGGCATGTTAATGTTGTCATTAATTTCATTAGTATGAGCTAATGTGATCTCCATATTACCCATCCAACATCACTTGTCATCGAAGTTACTCGAGGTCTCATATGGACAATCCAATGACTGTGCAATGATTCTTTAAGTACTCAACATCAAGCTTCACTGTGACAAAGCATGCAGCTCATGTTGGTAAATGCAATTTTATGCTGGTGCTTGCTAGGAGACCATGCTCAGAGCCATGTGTAGAGAGTTGCAACATGAGTGTCACCATTTTTGGAAACAAACTGGCAGGTGTATGCACCAGTGCACATAGACAGTTGGTATATAACAGCTGCACGCTATGAACAGCCATTTTCTTTTCCAAAATAGGAAGCTGGCGCTGCTCTCTTTTTAGACAGCTCTGACCATGCTCCTCTCTGAGCGCCCTCTATTGGTCACATATTTAGCTACTCTGTAAGTTACTGAACAGTCTATACCCCTTCCTCTTTTTGTAAATTGATCAGTGATTTTTTTCCATCCAAAGTGTTGGATGGACAGCAAACCGAGAGAGTTGAAAATACTGAAGTAAAATTGAGCCTGTTCTTTTCCATTTATTTGTTTCATGTTTTAGCTCAAGTCCATGTATGGCCTCAAGTCCACTAGTCCAGCAGCACAGTAAAATACCGTCATCAGCATCACTAGGCACTGCGCGTGTGACATTCAGCATTCTGGTAAAACTTGACTGTGTTCCTCGAAATCACACAACAACATATGCTAGAACTACCTCGTAAAAGGCGCAAAGTACTTTCGTGACCCATTAAATTGGTTGCGCCTTCAAAGATGTGTGATTTTAGACACATAACATTTGCCACTCTAAACTGCAATAAAAATGGTGGACGTGAGGTAAAAAAAAATTGAAAGAGACAATGCTGGTGCTTGGAAAGGGGACAAAGAGGCATTATTAGAAAGCAGAGAAATGTGGAAAAAATGAGGTGAGTGCATGACGTGAAAGACTTGTACTTGGTAGCATGACTAGGATGATGACAGAACAAAACTGCATCTTGGAATGAAGCTAAGAACTACAAATGGGTTAGTATAACAGTGAAAGTGTGGACAAAGGATTGTTAACGAGTGAAACGTTACTTTAGGGCCTGGCTCTTACGTTCTTTTGATTTGCTTTCCTTGGAAAGCAAGGGTATGAGTTGGTCGCTCGCATTTAGGAAAAAAGTATTCTCAGATTGAAACTGCCTCCAAAATGTTGCTCTGGGGAAATGACATCCTAAAGCACTTGATATGTAAGAAAACTGTGACCTTTGTTTCAAAAAATTAACAATCTACATGACACTTGCTCTGACCCATGGACATTCCTTGAGTTTCTAAATTTGGTCTGCTCGTAATGACACGGACCGTCCAACCCTCACTTAGTGAACTGGTAAAGCTCTTGCGATACATTTTTTGTTTTTCAAGGTGTTTTTTTGACAAACTGAAGACAAACATTACTGGGGGCGTAAAGCAGTCTAGATCAAAGTATTAAACACACCCACACCAACCAGTGGATGTTTGTCAGAGAGTGTGAACATAGAGTGTCTCCTGGTGAGTGTCCTGATGTGAGCAGTGAGATTGCGGCAAGAAATGTGATGAGTGTAATTAGTTGGGCAAACAGCAACTGATATGCAGATAACACAGTATGTAGCTCCATGTAAATATGAATATGTGTGTGCTTAGAGCTTCAAGCTTCAAATTTCCAGGCATTTTAAAGCAGTACGTGTTAAAGTATGCTTTCTTCTTCGTTCCTGTGTTCAACTTGCACTAGGTGACAACTAACACCGGTTAAGTCCAACAAAACCAGAGAGAGTTGGTGAAACTTGGGGAGGAGTCCTCCAGTTGGAAGGTACTCACAGGGATCTCGAGGTGTCAGTTGTGCCGGATGGGGCCCCACCATGGGCAGGTTGGCCGGCTGGGGGGACGTCTGCTTCGGCTTGGTAACTTTGGTGTTGGACTTGGCAAACTCCAGTCGTATTGTCTGGGGTTGGTCGGGATCAAAACGAACACCCTGATTTAAGAAAAAAAAATAACAAAAATAAGTTAAAACATGTGACTTCCAGTATTTGGGAGAAAAACTGGTCCAAGTCCACTCTGATAACTAGGACTACATCATTTCGGACTGAAGGTGCATTTCAGCTACTTACTAGAAACCAATCCAAGTTTGAGGTCAGTGAAGGAGATGAAGGAGTGAGAGTGGGGGGGGTACCAAAAGAGGGGCAGATTGTTCTTCCCTGTTCCTTGTAGGTTATGACAGCCAAAACAAAAGTGAGCTCGGCACACACGACTGTATTGAAGTCTGTCATTTAAGCCTCCAAAGATCAGAACGGTGCCTCAATAAACAAGTGGTCTCACATTTCACATGCCATGACAAAAAAAAAACTGGCCACAAAGCGCGGGGTTTGCATTCTCACTGTCAACCTCAATGGCATGGCTTGTCTGGGTAACACATTTTCTGGCCTGGGGCCATATTTTGTCACCAAGGGTTTTTTTCTCCCTTCTCCCCTCCCCTCCCCCCTCCAAATTGGTAACAGTCATTTAGAGCCAGGTGCTCTCCCGCAAATTACCATGTGCTGACATCCAACTGATGTGCAATTGTATTTTGGGGGATATCCACCCAAGGGGAAATCAAGAAGGAACTGGTCCGTGACCATTATTCCTCCTGCACTTTGTATTCCAGCAACTAGTTACTGGTAGAAACAGCCTTTGTAGTGTCTGCATATTACAGAACAGATGGTTAGGGACATTTGGTGGCAGACATATTCAACTATTGTGGGGCAAATTGTTACAGTTCTGTTTTTTCTTTTGTGCCGCATCGTTTTGAGGATTACTGAAGTCCAACGTCCTGTAATTGGCACTAAATGGGCTGCTGGATAAACAGGTATTAATAAATGAACTCTGCATGCTGCACTGGGGTAACTGAACAGCACTATGACCACATTTATATCAGTTTTGCTCGTAGAATTATATTCAATTATTAGAGTGTTAACTTCTCATTCTCTGCCCAGAGAAAATATGATGCCATCCCAGGCATGCAATGTGCATCGGGTACCGATAAAATCCAGAAAAAAATGCATTTGTCTTGTTTCAGGCATGTAACTTGGACTTTGACAAAAAGGAAATTCCAATCTTTACAAGACTTTGTACCGGTACAATGTTTTTCAATTTTCAATGGCATGAGTGTGAAGTGAAAAATGAGGAAATCAGCTGATCCGAGGAAAAATTGCATGCCTGTCGTTTGCGCAGAGCAAAATGAACACTCATGATTGTGGATTTAGGTTTTTGCACATTGGCTTTGTTGACGTATCCTTTTTAGAATACAGACACAGATATGCAAATAGCCCTACAAAAGCCGTGCAAAATTTTGAGTTTCCCGTAGGTGTGTGCACAAACATGAATGCACCTAGAAGGCATCACTTTGTGTGTGCGCCAGCACTATAGTTTTTATATAACGCTCTTTGCTTTTGTCCCACATGCTAGTGATATTTGAGCGTCAGGAGAACACATACGGCAGGACTAATTCTTTTATAATTTCATCCGTAACTGCAGTGGGAATCATAACAACAGCTGCGCGAAACGGGAACGTTACAATACAATAAAATTTTGGATCACTGCTGAAGAAACTTAGCATTGCACACAAAACTGGTCTGTGACAACTCCATTTGATCTTACTCTACAGCTGATCACAAAACCATGTCCCTGCGCATCATCTGAGGCATCAGCACTGACCAAGACAAACAATGCCCTCTACTGATGTTTTAAGAAGCACACAACAGTCGAGAATGGTCATCAACCATGTCTTTGCTGTTTTCATTGACAAATGAAAAATCCAAGCTACATTCCTTACAAATTGTTAAAAAAGCCCCCCCTCCCATTTTGACCCTTGATAACAAAGGTCGAGGTCATGCAGTTTCAGTCTTGTTTCACACTCTGCAAGAACCCAGGACCGTGCGATGCGCTGAAAGATTAATTCCAAGATTGCCTCGCTTCTTCCATTTGCGTCTCGGGTGTTGGTACTCACTGATAACGCTTGCTTTGCCGACTCTGCACCTGCTCTGCTATCGAACGTGACAAAGCCTACAGGCTGCAAAAGACAAGGAGAAAGAGAAGGAATCTGTGAGACGGAGAAGGCACCATTTGGAGAGGGACTGCTCAATGGCTTGTGAAGAGAGATTATCATATATGATAATGATGACTATGATGACAAAAATGGATAGGATGATGCTAATGATAATGTGGTCCAAGGGGGGATGATGCAAATGACATCTACAACAAAGTCTGCAGATAAGGTTGGACAATGACAACGAAAGGACAATGACAGTGTACGGCTTGATGGTGGTGAGGGTGTCAGAATTGAAGACAACGATGAATTCAACGGTATCAATGTGGTAGATGGAGGAGAAAATGACACAAGGGAGGACAACATCATTGCGAGTAACAAGACCATGGGTGTGACCCCCATGGTTATAATTTTGCACGAAAAAAAGGATGCCAGTGCTACTGACAATGACAGTGACAGGTTGAGACATTGACAATGACTGCAAGATGATGGTTATATAATCGGATGACAGTGACAATGAAGAGGAAGGCAGCAATTGCAATGATTAAGACACATTCATAAGCTGTGGGCGTTGAAAGCTATTGACTACTTTTCCTGGAAGTGACATCTCTCTCATCACTGTCCTGTCCCCCAACTCTTTTCCCAATCTAATATTCCGACATCAGACCTTCATACAACTAACCGTGAAAAACAAATAAGTTGAGAGAGTTGCAGTACGGCAGTCAATAGTTTGGCCCAGCACATCTCCACTGCACAAAGCGCTTCTGGCCACGCTCAGCGGGCCCCATTAGAAGGGTAATGATTTCCAATGCTGGAAGACGTTACTTCCGTCATAATGGTGGAAAACGCCGACGTCCTATATCCGGAGGCCAGCTGAACTGAAATGCTATCCGGGCACAGATCAATCCAGCCTTCCCGTTTTATTTGGGGGGGGGGGTTTAAAAATCTGTTGGCACTTGAGATTTTCAAATCGACATGCAAACTGGTTCCATGGTTGCTATAAAGGTCCTGCTTCATGTGGAATATAGTTGTGCTTCCTGGTTTATCGCAGAAGAGAGGACATTATAGGCAGACCCTTGACTAACATATTTTGTAGAGGACTACGGTTTCTTAAATAAATCAAATAGTCTGTTTCTGTTGGGCAATCATTATTTATGTGTTTTTCCTTGAATACTTGGCTCACTTTCAAATAAATAGTATCTCATCAAAAAGCCTGAATTTATTTTCTGAGATTTTAAGAGCAACGGCAGTAAAAGCAGTAAAAAACACACAGCTAGCTCAAACAGATTTGTTTTTGAAGAAGTAACTTCCTGTTTCTGTGTTGCAAAATACAAACAGATCATGAAGTCCTTGTCAAAAAGAATGCCAAATGTAGTCAACAGGGGGAAAAACAACTTTTGCAAAGATTCAGACATTTCCCAAGATCTCTTGAAAGAAAAGAGACTTCAAGGCTTCTGTAGCTGGGATTGGGCCTATAAAAGTAAACACACGACTTCATCCGAGATTTTTTCCCTTCAATTCAAAACCCTGCTTAAAGTGCTGGGAATTTATAAATGTCCCCTTTCCTGTAAAAAGTGACCAGTGTCAAAATACTGATCAAACAACCAACCAGGCAATACTTACAGAGGAACTCTTTCCAGGTTTACTTGTAAGCTTTAACAGGGAGCCTTCATAACCCTGAGGCAAAAGACAAAAAAGGAAAGCACATTGTCACTTGAAAAATCAAACTAATCAAAATAACAGGAGAAGAATCAAGTTTTGTTCTCATGTTTGATCTGCTGGCTGTTCAGTGTTCACTTCTACAAGTCACATCACCCTTCCCCCAAAAAAACACACACACACATGCACACATAAACAGGGTAAAAAGGCAAAAAAAAGAGAAAAATCCTGAAAGCTCCAAAACAGCCCCAAGGTTGTGTATTCCACACACATCTAGAAGTGACAAGCTCTCGACCGTTGCTGGATGGCTCACACGGCCCCCAAAAAACTGTCCCAACTTTAACCTCAGGCCATCATCTATGTACAGAAAGAGGGGCCCTCGAAAATGGGACATTCAAGAGAACACAGCTTGGTGCAGTTGGTTGGCAACATCAAGTCTATCTTCACCAGTGGCAGCATCTACAGATGCTTTTAATGGTCTTTTTCAGTGAGAGGTAAGCTAAGCAGAAGAGTGGTTTAGCAAGCGTCGGGGTGCTTTTCGGGAGACAGCTACACATACAAGAGCACATTACTTGTCCCATCGCTATAGGGATAAACACTTGTCATTACACCAATTTTGTGGGGACCAAAAATGTTGCGGGAAGAGAGCGAAGCCCCACAAGTTGGTCCTAACTCGCCTATTAACAAAAGAAACTGCCCCTTGAACACAGTGAAAGCCCGTCCAATGAGGGTGCTCAAGTTGTTGCAACAAAAGAGGAGCAACGGTATTTTAAGGAATTGAAAAAAATCAGCCTATAACTAACCTTTGCAAGGTGTTTCAAAAGGATACTTTCTGAATTCTACAACTGTCCCTGTGTCAATCCCTGCCCCTCTCCCAACAACCTCCTTGACAAGATGGCGCAAAAAGTTTGGTCATCAGCCAAGTCTGAACCTCACATTTCAACAACCCTCGTACAATGAGAGGAATCATTGCTACCTTGTCTGCTTGGTTACAGTGCAAAAAGATTACCTGATAAAGTTAATTACATTTTACTGTAATATCAAAAATTTTGCTTCGATTCGGCAGTTGGATTTTCATCTCAACCAACCAGTCTTGCACAGCCTTGTGATTATTAGGATGTTTTTGCCTCTACAAGTACCTTACATGCACATATAAACAAGAAACATGGTCAAATGGCAGCAGGTTTCTGGACGAATATGTAATTTTGACTGAACCGCAACCCATTTTCTTCTTTACAGTCCAGATAAACATGTCACGGTCATCTCATGCTGTATTAACACATAGTGCAATCTGCCTATTAAGGAGGTTCAAACTTCCATTTTGGTATTTTTAAGCTGTCTTTCTGACGCAAATGACCTGCCATACAAAACTGCCTTGCAATGAAGGCATTTCCATATTGATGGTTCATGTCTGCAAGTCTTCGCGCGCACACAAAGTAATTTAGCGGTCCATTTCTAAATCCAGTGGGACACAGAGTACGCCGACCTTCGCCAATCAAAGTTGGCAGAGTCTATATCAAGCAGTTCCTGCAGCTTCTCGTTCCCACAAGAAAGCAAAACAAAAAGCTGTAAATAATCCGTGAGTGCAGTTCGCTTCAGCAGGATGTGACGATCACTATCCAAATAGTGAGGCTAAGTTTGCACTGAAAACAGAGACTTTCCAATTACTTGAACTGCCTCAGGGAGCCAACGAACGGCAATACAAACCCCTCCAAAAATACAGTCGAGAAGGAAAGCAGAATCCTGCTGTCAATTCTGTTTCATTCATTCACAAGACAACCGGACTGGTTGGAGAGCAGCTCATGGCCATGCTCATGCATCTGGATGCATGCATTCAACGAGAGCCATTTGTGTACAGCCAATGCCATTCACTTGATTCTGTCTCCAAAATTTCAGTCCCTGAATGACAAAAGTGAATACATTTTGAAGCAGTCCACACAAGAAGCAACGATTTTTAAAATGGGGGGGGGGAACCACAGGGGAGTTGAGCTGTCTATTCACCCTTTGTGTGGGTTTGCCTCTGTTAATACAAATGGCTGGAGAGGGAGGCTAGGGAACTGATCACAAAATAAACTGGAGGTTCTTTCTGGATGACGTTGGGAGGAAGGCTTTTAAGGAAAAATATCAGTCACAGCAGAAACTCTAACAGTTGCTTCTTTGGAATGGCTACTTTTTGTTCCCATGGGGAATGCAGTGAGAGGATTTGCAAAATTACCATTTCAAAATTTAACGGATGAATAGTAGTGGTACTTGCCTGGTTTAAATCATTTTCCTTACTTGCTCAGATTGTTTGGCAGAGTGATTGCATAGTTCCCAGAGAAATTGGTGCAGAGTTACATCTACATTCTTCCTTTGTCCATCACATATCGTAAGTTGGGAACGGTAATGGAAAAATAATTCTTAGAATTTGACCATCCATCATATCAACCCCCACTTTCATCTCCAATCAACAAGAACACTAACGAGATCAGTTCTTGAATTTTGATCAGAATACGAATGGACTTTCTATGTACACATGGTCTGCATTATTACCCTCATTTAATGCTCAGGCACATTTAATTTGATTCTGCTGGTGTCTTAAAAAAAAAAGTGCTCCACGCTTTTGCACCATATTCAGTGAACGTAATTAGGCCCCTAGTGCAGCAAAAGCTTTAATGACATGGGGTGATGACAGGGCGATTTCTGAACGACGCCAATAAAGGGGGTTGGGAAGAGACGATTCGTACAACACAAGTCACAGATTCACTGCCCGTGTGCACCTGCCCCTGGTGATTGGATTTTAAAAATGCATAACCATACCCCAGATGAGAGTGAATCCCGTAGTGGGCTCCTTCATGCCAAGGGCTCATTTAAAACAGGTGTGACTGTTAATAATGGTTAACAGATAAACTTCCATACTCTGTCATTAGTAGAGATGCATCTTTGAAAGGGCAGGAGATGAAAAGTGATATCTTCATGGACAGACCTTAAGTAGTTTGGATACTGATTGAATTTCTGCAGTAAATATGTTGAAGGAACAAGCTCCAAACCGAGACTTTAAGAAATGAGATTGTATGCACAACCAGCTGGATGTTAAAAATGTAAAATTTGAGCACCCAACATCATCCACTGACATGTTTTGACAGTTGAAAATAAGAATACGGAGAAATAGGAAAAACAAAACTGTATACACAACACGACTGGCACATCCTTGCCTCTCCACTCAAATGTTACGAAAACACCTTTGCAGAAGGGACCTTTGTGAACCATTCTTTCTGAACTAAGCATGAGTCTTCCTTCCCCCTTGGTTTCTTGATTTTGATAGCGTGCGCTTCAAACGGCCAAAATACAAACATGCCTTTCTCTCCCCATGCTTTCAGCCCTGTTATCGTTCTCCGAACCTTAATCGCTGGAAACAAATGCGGCTGAATGTAATCGTCGGCACGAACGGCACCGCTCCCTACAATAACACCCATGTCGTCCGCCGCAGTGCCTAAATTGAATTTCAGAATGCAGACCTGGAGCTCTACGAATACGGAGTTGAAGCCATAAGCAATCGCGGATAAATTTAACCATCTTAAATTATGACGGAGGCAACTGAGAACGAAAAAAGGGTTTTCTGAAGTCGCGGCATACAGCGCTTCTCCTTATGAGGACATATCAGAAGGGGGTCCTACAAACAAATGCAGATGCTGTTCCTGGTGAATCTAAGTGGGTGATGTGTGGGAAGAGGAGCAACAGACAGACAGTGATTGAGCTAATGGCAAACAAAAGTCAGCACCAAAGACTAATATTAAACAGAGCATTCACAGAAATGCATACGTTCCTGTCAGGCTTTTAGGCAGTACAGCCCATCAGACTTGCTTTATCTACACACTATTTCCCCTTGTATGCAAACTCTACTCCACTCTTGATTTATTTGCTCGAAACCATATTAATCTTCCCCAGCTTGTAATGCAAGGAGTTTTGGAATGTATTGACGTTTGCTCGCTTTTGCTATATCCTCCCAAATCAAAAGCTTTAACATACAAGAGCAAAAAGTAACCCTTTCTTCCCACATGCACAAAACTCCATCAATGTAATTACACATCACATAACCAGTTTGATGAAATACTGCTCCACTCATTCTGACATGAGTACTTTATAATTATGCACTTGACTGCAACTAACATCTGCATTAAGGCTTGAAGTATCTCAATTTATTAAAAAGCTGAGTGCTCACATCAGCATCTATAATGGTACTAAAGCACCCACCATTATTCACAAGCCCATTGTTGCAAATCCACGTCTTGACAATTGAATGGCAGAGACTCCAATTTGAATATATAAATACTGTACTCTGGTGTCACCATTTGGAAAATTGAACCCGTGAATTCAAAAAATAGTTCCCCTTTTGTAATCCGTACACACCATCAGATGAATTTCGCTCATCATAAATAGAGGCACAGCTTTTGCTTTTCATCTGAGATTCTTTCCGTGTAAAGTGGCTGAAACTTAAGACAGTAACTGATACTCGTTTTGTAGCAGGATACTTCTCTGCAGGGGAAAATTTTGAATGAAGTTAAACAGAATGGAAAGCTTTTGACAAGCTGATCTTTTGCGTGGTAGAGGAAAAAGTATGGTCAAGAGAGGGCTTCTCAGTTTTGGGTCCACATATAGAATGCTAGAGGCAATTGGCTTGGCATGACATTTTTGCACATGAATTCGCAATGAAAGACTTCAATGTTACATATAGCATTACACTTCTCTAAAAAGGTGTGTATCAACATGTACATGTACAAGCACGGGAACTATGAAATACGTGTACAGGTACGTACATCATCATGGAGCAGTTACTATTTGGTTATGAGGATCAGAAGAGAAAAAATGAAAGTCTTAGATGCTGTGTTTTGGAAACAGAGGGTTTCCACGCTTGTGGTGTCACTGAATTTTGTTGGACACAGGAGGGTACCAACACAATAAAAAGACACTTTTTCACAGAAGTGGGGATACGATGATGCCAGCATGTTATCGAAAAGCTATTCTTAGATTTATCATGTTTATGAGAGAGAAAGGCAAAAACGTTTTGGAGGAGAGGGGGAAGCCCTGTTTTTATTTTTGTTGGAACTTCTATGTTCTGAAGAACATCTCTGACAAAGTAGCTTCTTTAAACTATATCAATACTAAACAGGCAAAATCATTTCCAAGATATGAGCAAGGTATGGGCAGTGAACTCGGTGTGATGTTAATCAAAAATATATACACAAATGTAAGGCAAGCAGCCACAAAGACTATGGACAGCTTAAAATTGCAAACCGGGCCACTTGATCTGCTCCACATCCTGTTACCTGTCACGGGCCTCAGAGATCCCTCTGGGAGGAACCCTGCCTAGTCTTAACAGGGGCACAAATTACGGCTCCATGCCCGAGACAAGAGGGCCAATTACACACGTCATTACGTACCTGATACGCTCTGAACAGAAGGTACAGCTCCCGCGGTGTTGCATCCATGGGCAATCCACTTACGAACAATGTCCGTACCTGGGGAAGGCAACCAAAAGATGGAAAAAAAGGCAGATTAGAACAAGAGGGGAAGAGCAAAAGCAGGTTAGGGATTAACGGGGAATGTGGGTTACACGGTGGGCAAGCATTTGACATTTCAAGGAGGATGTGTCTGGAACCCCCCTCTAAGTGCTTTGAATGGGATGAATACCGGAGTGTTCCTGCTACCATGCACTGGGTCAAAGAAACGATCAATACCCGATGTTTGAGATGCTGGAAATGGATGTGATAATGCTGCAGACTGCCGAGTTATCGCATTGGAAAGGAAAAATCCAAGTAAAGTGACTGAGCAGGATATGGTAGAGCACAAATAGGTTCCCAATAATCAGTTCCATCAATGAGCTGGACCCAAAGACATTAAAAACAATAAATGTAGGAAAAAACAATTAAGCAAATAAGGTTACGTTCATTCATTTATGGAGGTATGATGAAAAAATTCTGAGTGAGGGGATATCGATCAATCCATGAGAAACTTGTCAGTGGACCTTTGTATAGCTGAGGTATTTTGAAGTATTAACATGAAAATAAAACATGAGACATAGCGACACAAGTGTAACATGGAATCGCAGCATTGGTCTTAAGTCAGTAGCAAGCTCCTCAATGCTTGACAGTGATGCAGCATACTGAACAACATGTATATATAACTACTAAAGTGCTAAATTCAATGTGTACAGTGAATCCTGCTAGGCACATCCATGTTTGTGCACAAACCAATGGAAAAACGTCAAGTTTTGAGAGGCTTTCGTAGGCATAGACCTACATGAATCCGCGTGTGTATTCTAAAATGATGCATCAATAAAGTTGATACAAAGATGCAAAACACACAATCAGTAAATGAGTGCTTGGTTTTGCTTAGTGTAAGTCAAACACATGTGCTGCAGATACAAAATTACAAGACAGGAAAACAGGCTATATGTTATTTGCCAACATTTTACTTACACAATGCATGTAGGGTACATGAACCTGATTTGGAATTCAATCTATCTTTTTTTATCATGTTCTACAAATCTGCGCTTGAATTAAAAATGTCTGCGGGGGGGGGCATCAAAACTTCACACAGGGAATGACCAATTAGTGTTCCAGTCTGTTCATATACATGTAGGTCTACGGAGGCAGCAGGATTACAATCAAAGCTCAATTCCACAGACAGAAGACAGAGTGGCTCAGGGACTTATGTGCAAAGCAAGAGTCACTGTGAACCAGATGCTAGCAGTGTGCATCCCATGGCATTTTGGAAGGTAAACCCTTTTTATTTCGCCAAGCAAGGAGTTTCTGTGAATTAGCACATTTCTGTGCTTCAAAGCCGTCCCACAAAACTGGGCCCAGGAGATTGGCATACTCTTCATCGCCTGTCCTCTTGTCTGACCAACAACAGACCTTGAGCACGCGACCAAATCTGCCATTGTGATAGGACTGACACATCACTGTGTGATGCTGTGCGGAGATAACGTAAACTCCAGACAAACGTAGGCAAATAGCTTTGCCTTTTAGGTGTTGTCTGTATTTTCTAATGCAGCTGTAAATCAGAGTGCACGCCATGTTCTACATGTGTGCACTGCCTGAGATTATTTAGATAAGACACATCCACACATTGGATCAGACATGATCCACTATGTTCGCATATTTTCGTAAGAGTGAACAGCAAAATAGAGTTGAGAGAGTGAAGTTTATTTTTAGAAAAAAAAGATGAAAACCTCACAACACAGTACTTGAAGAAACCGGGGATTATTGGCCTGTAACTAAAATGCTTGTTGGTTTGCTGGAACAAAGTCAACTTAAGCCCACTCAAAACACTGTAAAAAGACTTTTAGGGGAAAAAATATCTGAATTCAGTTTCCAATTTCCCCTGATGTAGCTTACGTCCATTTTCCCTAACTGATGCATTCCCTCCTTTTTCTCCTCTTAAATCAAATTGAGCCCTTGGAGGACTTGAAAAAAAACCCCTCATATCTAAAAAAAACGGACCCAGTTTGATGGAAAATTAATCAATTTCTCTAGACATGAAGGTCCACTTACTTCCCCATTAGTGCCAAAAAATGGAAAGGCAGTATACATCAATGGGACAGCTACTGCACAGTATAAGGGGGGGGGACTAAAATCATTGTGTAAAAGCCAATATTAAACTAGGAAAACCGGAACAATGAAAGCAACTGAAAAATGTCTAAAATGCCTTCAGACATGGTTCGCAATGGTTTTAAAGAAAATGAATTCATTTGTTAAATATTAATTGCAGAGACCAAAACATTGGTTAAAAGAACTTCAATGCATGCACATGTACACGATATCAGCAAGCAATTGCGCCGTATCAAATATACATATATTCACATCCCATGTAGAGTTCCTGCCAAACCAGACACCAGGCATTCTGCACCGATGTTTAATTGAATATCACTAAATTGCATTCTCAGTACAATTCAATCAAATTGTCAGTCAAGTGACTGATACATGTACATGTATAATGCTTCTAAAGCAGACAGGTGTGATACAACTACATGTACGTGTGGGAGGATCTGTGTATGTGTAATGCCAACTACATTGCATGTTAGGAGAGGTATGAAAATTGCTTGTTGTGAGAAGTTACATTGAGACTCATTGCAAATACATAAAACAAGTGAATTATTTTGGCATGCCTGAAAACAGCATGAAATTCGTACAGCACCAGGACACTTCACATCAAAGATTTACTACATGTTCATGTAGGCCTTATACATGCACATGGGCCCCAACATGAATATAATACAAGCGCCTGCCCCGCATTACACCAGAACTGGCTTCGTGTGCACATAGAAGTGCATGTGTTCAATGCTGGTATGACACATGAAGCAATTTCCAAACAGCGATGTGCGCGCCCAACCTGCTCAGCGCTGCTCAAGCTCCACGGAAGTCAAGGCCATGAGGCACGGTGTGAACAAGGGAGGGAGGGAAGAAACAGCAGAATGGATTGGGTGGCGGGGGGGGGGAGACACGAGCAAGTGACAATACAGGCTGCTGCCTGGAATGACAGGAAGCCCTCCCCACTATCATCAACATCCAAGGATAATAATATTGTGGCTACACCTAAAAATAAGAAAACACCTGCAGCAAGGTTAAATGGGGGATTTTGACAATCTTTCCCCTTGCACATTATACATGTACATGTTAAAAATACGCCGTCCGGTGGAAGCAGAGGAAATTACAACTTGGAGATTGGGTTGGCAATGCAAAGCATGCAATGCATCAAGAAGTCAACAAGGTTTCTTATGTTAAGAGAAAAGACAAGTGAAAAAAGAAAAAGAAAAAGGGGAAAGTCATAATACAATAATCATTATTCTTGTTAGTGTCAAGGACATCTGTTATTATTTACAACACAATCTACATGCGTATTATTTATATGCTGAATTCAATTAATTTCCCAATTGTGCATAGGAAATGTATGCAAGGATTTTACACATCGATTTTGTCTAAAGAAAAACAATTAAAAGACTTCACTTTAACAACTCATCAAGACTGTAATTAGACTTGTGTTTGGAACAACTTTCAAAGTCAGTGAACAAATTAATTTTGCATTAAACGAACCAAAAATAACCAAACAGAAAAAAAAATGTGAGAGTTTGGGACTGGGAAAAAATGCTGATAGAATCCTAAAAACAGTTTTGAGGTTTTTTCTTATTTTGGCTGAAGAACAAGCCGAATTCGCAACACACGGGTATTGCTTCAGGCCATAATCTGACAGCTTTCTTGTTCCCCTGACCGTGGCTGTCCGCTACCTACAGTAGGGCTCCCTCGCTTGAGACTGCTTTGCTGCAGGCTACAGAGGAGTACGTGCGAATCAATTAAAACTCGCCTGGAAATCTTGCGCATTCCCTTTGCCTGCCAACGAAAAGGATCACTTTTTGCTCTTTCACTTGAATTTTCTCTCACTGGTTTCTGTATGTATGTGTGTGTGTGTAAATAAAGGGGCTAACAGTGGACAAACAGGCTCAGTGTGTGGCTTGAGTGGATTTCAGTTTGATAAATCAAATCAGATAGATTAGATCAAATAAATTAGAATTAAGTGTTTACTTCCATCACTACTAGCTGAATTACATGTGACAGAACTGTTATGAATCGCATCTGTGAAAAATTAACTGTTGAGGTAACAACAAATTAGTTCTTTCACTCAAGAAGTTGTGAATTATCTCACGAAAGAAAATGTTCCTGAACAAAACAAAAATGAAAATGTACTTCGGGGTTTGCTTCTGGTTGACGTTTACAGCCGAAAGTCCCCTTGCTACTTGTAAATTTGATTTCAATTTACTTGTTCCTAAGCTGTTCATGGGTTTGAATCAAAAGTGTGAGTGTTGAAGCCTTAGCATATGTTGGGTACAAAGAAAATCACCCATAATAGCTCGTGCTCTCTTAGTTGATGAATGCACTGATCTGTCCTGGTATTCTTATCATCAGCTTGTGTTATTTGAATTGTATTTTTATTCATAGTGTCCCTCCTGTTGTCTTTCTGTCTTGTCTCCATTCTTTTTTTCGGGGACACGTTTTTACAGCTCCTGTATTTCATTATTTTAAAATCAGGATAGTGTTATGTATTCAAATTTTAGTGGTATTAATGAAATTCAATGTTTTAAGTCTCAATTTTCATTGCATCATGCCCTTATTGAAAGGGGTTTGTAACTGACATGGCAACCCTGTATAAATAAAACCATAAGTAAATAAATAATAAACTGTAGAACTGACCAAGGTGGCTGTAAAGTACATATACATGTGTAACACATACTTGTCTACAATGGTAAGCACTGGGGTTACTTAATTAAACCTTCTGGGCCAGAAGTTGAGAAATGACAGTCTTGAGTTTGTTTTTGTTTCGTCGTTGTTTGCATCACCAAATGGGTTGACACGACGTTAATGCTTGTCTTTTAAGAAACCGCACCTGAGAATCAAATACACAAATGAGATATAAAATATACACAAAACTGTCATGGATTGAGCTACATGTGCATATCACTAGC